GTTCTTTTATCAGCCTTGCCTTCCACCCCTCCTCACAGCTCTACCCCCAGCCAAATCCTAGCCTGCTTCCTGCCACATTAGATCGTTTGTATTTCCAGAATGTACATAAATAGAAGCGTGCAGTATGCATCCTTTTTATTCTGTCTGGCTGCTTTCACTCAGCACAGTGCAGTGGAGCCTCTCCATGTTGTTGCTTGCATCTGAAGTTTGTTCTTTGTTTGGCGAGCACTGCCCCATTGTACAGCTATGCCACAATTTGTTTATCTAATCCCCAGTTGATAGACATTTGGGTTGTCTCCAGCTGTTGTCTTTTACAAATACAGCTGCTGAGAATTCCTGTGTGCCTCTCTGTGTAGACATGTGCTTGCTTTCTTGCTTTCTTTTTTTTTTTTTTTTTTTTGAGGAGTCTCTGTCACCCAGGCTGGAGTGCAGTGGTGCAATCGTGGCTCACTGCAACCTCCACCTACTAGGTCCAAGTGATTCTCCTGCCTCAACCTCCTGAGTAGCTGGGATTACAGGTGCCCACCATCATGCCTGGCTACTTTTTTGTATTTTTAGTAGAGATGGGATTTTACCAGGTTGGCCAGACTGGTCTAGAACTCCTGATCTCAATGATCCGCCTGCCTCTGCCTCCCAAGTGCTGAGATTACAGGTGAACCACTACACCCTGCCTTTTTTTTTTTTTTTTTTTTTTTTCCTTTTTGAGACAGGGCCTCCCTCTGCCACCCAGGCTGGAATCCAGTGATGTGATCATGGCTCACTGTAGCCTCTCCCTCCTGGGCTCGAGCAATCTTCTCACCTCAGCTCCTGAGTAGCTGGAACTACAGGTGTGCACCACCATGCCTGGAATTTTTATTTTTATAGAGACAGGGTCTCATTATGTTGCCCCGGCTGGTCTTGAACTTCTGGTCTCAAGGGATCCTTCTGACTCAGCCTCCCAAAGCACTGGGATTATAGGAGTGAGCCACCATGCCCAGCATTCTTTCCTTTCTTCTAGGGAAATACCTCAGAGTGGGATGGCGGAGTCTAATGTTCTGTGGTTGCCTCCTGCTTTTTTTCCACCCGTGGAGCTTGGGGTTGGGGATGGGGAAATTGAAAAGGAGTAGTTGGGTTACCATCTTCCTTTCTCCACAATCTGAAATTCATCTTGTTACTGTGGGGATTTTGATGTGGTTCTGGATCCTGGGAATCAGCCTCTTCTCATTCCTAGCCAGGTTGAGGTTGATGAGAATCAACTATTTTTTTTTTACCCCTGAGACAGAGTCTTACTCTGTCACCCATGCTGGAGTGCAGTGGCGTGATCTCGGCTCACTGCAACCTCTGCCTTCCGGGTTCGAGAAATTCTCCTACCTCAGCCTCCCAAGTAGCTGGGACTACAGGCACCTGCCACCACTCCTTGCTAATTTTTTGTATTTTTAGTAGAGATGAGGTTTCACCATGTTGGCCAGGATGGTCTCGAACTCCTGATCTTGTGATCTGCCTGCCTCAGCCTGCCAAAGTGCTGGGAGGCGTGAGCCACTGTGCCCGGTGGAGAATCAACTTTCACTTTGGCATCAAAGAACCCTGCCTGGGTTTAAGTCCTGGCTCTGTTGCCTGACAGCTTCACAACTGAGCGGGGCTGTACCTCTCACTGCTGCACATTTATGTCTGTTTATCTTTTTCTGAGTTTCTAAATAACATGGTACCTACCTTCCTTGCAAAGTTTTTTTAATTTTTATTTATTTATTTTTTTTGAGACAGAGTATCTCTCTGTCACCCAGGCTAGAGTGTGTGGTGTGGTCTCTGAGGTTCAGTGGTGTGATCTCAGCTCACTGCAATCTCCATCTTCTGGGTTCAAGTGATTGTCATGCCTCAGCCTCCTGAGTAGCTAGGCCGACAGGCACCTGCTGCCACGCCTGGCTAATTTTTGTATTTTTAGTAGAGAAGGGGGTTTCACCATGTTGCTCAGGGTGGTCTAGAACTCCTGACCTCAGGCGATCCGCCTGCCTTGGCCTTCCAAAGTCCTGGGATTATAGGCATGAGCCACCACATCTGGCCCCTTGTAAAGTTATTGAGAGGATCAAATAATAAGAGGGCAGAAAGGGGAGACAATGTGGTTATCTGAGGAAGAAAACAAAAGGAATTGAATGAAGGCGAAGGGATTTGTTTTGGGCAGAACAATGGTAAGAATTGCTCACTGGTTGATGGAGAGGTTGGTCACAGTCTGCATCACCCTTGATGCCCTTGGAAACGTAGGCAGGGCTGGCATTTTCTCTTTCACCAGTTGGGTCTGCAAGGACCACCTGCTGGTCCCTGGGGGATCAGGAGAGTGAGGTGGAGAAGGTGAGAGGACCCAGCAATTAGAATGTCAGGCGGCCCCTGTGTGTGGCTTCGGTCGTCGTCAGTCTGTGGCTCCCTCCCCCTCATTTTCTTGAGGGCCCAGATTGGAGGCACCAGCCAGTGCTGCCGGCCCCACCTCCAAGTCACACCAGTGCAGTGGTCTCCTCCCATCCACATCCCTCGCCTTCCTCTACATCACTGGCATCTCCCGTCCGGCCATTGCTGCATCCCCTGAGTACGTATGGCCCTTCCCATGAGGCAGCCTGAGGGATCCAGGATTTGCCCTGCCACTGCCTAACACCATGCAACGGTGTCTCATTCTGCTCGGAAGAAAGTTCCAGTCTCCCTACCTGGCCTACTTACAAGTGGTGTCCTGTCCATTCCATGCTGGCCTTGCATGTTGGTGTTGGTGTTGGTTGTGGAATCAGGCTTGGTCTTGTCTCAGAATCTTGCATTTGCTGCCCCCCCCCCCACCGCCTCAAAGATTCTGGAAGCTCCTGTGCCTAGCTCCTCATACAGCTCTCAGTTGGAAGACATTCCCTCAGAGACTCTGTGGGCTACATCAGCTCCCAAGTCACTCTCTTCTCTTCACTGCAGAGACCAGGATCTGGAATGGTCTGTCTTAGCTTTTCATGTTTGCATGGGCTGTTCCTGAACTAGAGTGTAAGCTCCCTGTGGGGTGCCCTGTGTCACCAGTGTGTCAACAAGATCCAGAAGCAAGGTTGGAGTCTCTTGCCCAGCTGGAGTGCAGTGGCGCAATCTTGGCTCACCGCAACCTCCAACTTCGTGGTTGAAGCAATTCTCCTGCCTCAGCCTCCCGAGTAGCTGGGACTATGGTGGGCGCCACCATGCCCAGGTAATTTTTGTATTTTTAGTAGAGATGGGGATTTACCATGTTGGCCAGAATGGCCTTGATCTCTGGACCTTGTGATCCACCCACCTCAGCCTCCCAAAGTGCTGGGATTACAGGCATGAGCCACCGTGCCTGGCCGAGACTCTGTTTCAAAAAAAAAAAAAGAACACAACATACAGCTAGTGCTCGACTTACGACCACAATTGGTTCCGACAGACCGGTCGTAATACGATTTGGTCGTAAGTTGAGTAGGCTATATGTACAGTACTGTGAAATGATGTTATAAAAATCTTTAAGTCATATTTTATCATAATTTTCTTTCATTATTGTTATATATCATAATTTTCTTTGTTCATTTTATGCCATTTGTATCATCTCTACATCATTTTGTTTCTTATTTTTACATTCGTCAGGTTTAAGTAAAACACTGCATTACCAGTACAACTGGTTTAATATTTGCAAAACATACAAAATTACAAAATACAGGTGCATACAAAAATACAAAATACAGGCGTAAAAAATACCATAGGAAACATTTTCCCAATTGCAAAACGTATCAAAATATATAAACATGTACGAAACATTTTATTGGCCGCTGGTGCTTGGCTGTGGATTGTTGATGTCGTCATCTGAGGCAGCAGTTGGGGTTACCGGAGTTGGTTTTTTCATAAACATGGTGAGCTTTGTCTGAATTGTGTGTTTCTTTTTTTCTTCATAAATTTCACGATACTGACAAAACACATCGTGCGCCATCCGTTCAATCCTTGCAAATCGTTCCATTGCTTCGAAATGTATAAGAAGTTTATTGGGAGGGGTTTGATGAAAAACATCCAAGACACAAAACACAAATTGCTGTACCGAGTCTGGGATAACAGTTGAAATGGTGCGTGTGGAGATGGTAGTGCTGCCGGAAGCTGGTCTGCACTGTCGTACGCTCAGCTGGGCAACGTTTGCGCTGCCAGACGCAGAGCAGTCATGGCTAGCGATTGTGGTCGTAAAGTCGAATGGTCATAAGTTGCATAGGTTGTAAGTCGATCAATACCTGTATATATATTTGAGGCTTTTAGAGACTTGGTGGTCTAGTACAACCTTAGACCATGTGCAAAAAAATGGGCATGGCCGTGTCCAATAAAACTTTCTCCACAGATGCTAAGAGCGTAAATTTCACATAATTTTCACCGATCATAAAATATTCTTTCAATGTTTTTTTAGCCATTAAAAATTGTATTATGGCTGGACGCAGTGGCTTACACCTATAATCCCAGCACTTTGGGAGGCCGAGATGGGTGGATCACGAGGTCAAGAGATAGAGACCATCCAGGTCAACATGGTCAAACCCCGTCTCTACTAAAAATACAAAAATTAGCTGGATATAGTGGCACACGCCTGTAGTCCCAGCTACTCGGGAGGCTGAGGCAGGAGAATTGCTTGAACCCGGGAGACAGAGGTTGCGGTGAGTTGAGATCGCGCCATTGCACTCCAGCCTGGGTAACAAGAGTGAAACTCCGTCTCCAAAAAAAAAAAAAAAAAAAAAAAAATTGTATTATGCCTTTAAATCCCAGCACTTTGGGAGACCAAGGTAGGATGATCACTTGAGCCCAGGAGGTTGAGGCCAGCCTGGGCAACACAGTGAGACCTCGTCTACGAAAAATAAACAAAATAAGCTGAGTATGGTGGTACATGCTTATAGTCTCAGCTACTTTGGAGGCTGAGGAGGGGATCACTTGCACTCAGGAGTGTGACGCTGGAGTAAGCTATGATCACACCACTGTACTCCTCCAGCCTGAGCGACAGAGTGAGACCCTCACTTTTAAAAAAGGAAAAAAATAGCTTTGTGCAGTGGCAGTATCATAGCCAATGAGGTTTATTGGAGGTGCAATTACTGCTAACTGAAAACTTTTCCCCCAATACCCCGCCATGACGACTTGAAATATAGTCAGCATTGGCAATTTTTGGCAGTCTCCATGGGGACTGAATTAAAAAAAAAAAAGAAAAAAGTAAAAACCATTCTCAACTTGTGAGCTGAGGTTTGCCAACCCCTGGTCTAAGTTACTACTGGTTAATGAGACAATAAAAACCTGCCCGATGGTGAGACTACAGGTTAAAAACATTTTTGGCAGCCGGGCGCGGTGGCTCAAGCCTGTAATCCCAGCACTTTGGGAGGCCGAGGCGGGTGGATCACGAGGTCAAGTGATCGAGACCATCCTGGTCAACATGGTGAAACCCCGTCTCAACTAAAACTACAAAAAATTAGCTGGGCATGGTGGTGCGTGCCTGTAATCCCAGCTACTCAGGAGGCTGAGACAGGAGAATTGCCTGAACCCAGGAAGCGGAGGTTGCGGTGAGCCGAGATCGCGCCATTGCACTCCAGCCTGGGTAACATGAGTGAAACTCCGTCTCAAAAAAAAAAAAACAAAAAACAAAAAACAAAAAACAACCATTTTTGGCAGGGAGAGAGGGATATCTGAATCTCTGCAGAGCATGCTTTGAAAATAACTCACACAGTCTCATCCACAGACCGGTGGAGGATCAAGTTTTCTGACCCCTGGCCTGAAACAATACTTGGCATAGAGCAGTTGCTAAGTAATTAAAACAATTGCAAGAATACATGAAATTTGAGCATCATAGGAAATGCTAGTCCCATTTTAGGTGTGAATGCAAAAGCTTAGAGCTGCAAAGGGACATAGAATCTTGACCATTCCCAAGTCAGACGAGGCTGAGTTTGAGGGATGAGGTTGAATGCTCACCTTCCTCTCCAGGCAGCAGAGCTGGCTGATGAAGGTGGGATTCCGTCATTTCCTGGCTGTGTGATCTTAGGCAAGTTTTTTCACCTCTCTGAGCCAATTGCCTCGACTTGAGGCTCTTAGTTACCCCCCATAAGGATGTTGGGAAAACATGAGACAGTGGTGGCCACAGTGCATGTCACATCTGGCCAACCTCCGGTGGGTGCCCTGCACATAGCAGCTGCTAGCATGATTAACCCCTCTCTTGCCAGAGGATTTGCAAGGTGTCGGAAATTTTTGTGCCGTAAATGGCTCAGGAAACTGGCAATTGGGCTGGGAGCTGGCCTTGCTCTTATTTAGTGCCAGTGCCCTGCCGACCCCTGCCAGTGTCTGTCCCAAGTTAGGGGACCTCACCAGCAGCTACCGGTAGCTGCGGTTTACTCTGATGCACTGGGGTCAGCTCCAGCCTGCGAGTTCCCCCTCCCTCCCTCTGCCCTGCAATGACATGGTTGGAGACCATTATTTTACAGGAAACTCTTAGAACTTACAGAATCTTTTACAAGGCAAATTGATGCCCAGTTGAAGGATCCTGTAGGTGCTAAGGTTTAAAATTTGGGACTTACCTCCTAAGCATTCACTGAGTCATTTCATTAATAATCACCTGGTGAGGTCTTGATTTAAGTCGTCCAGGCTTCTAGGCTGGTCAGTGGAATAGCAGACAAGCATCCAAGAAGCTCCCCAGACTTTCCTCCTAGTGGGGGAAGCCGAAGACATCAGGCGGGAGGGAAGTTTCTAGCACACTTAGTACCATGATGCAAGTAAAATGAGGACTTGGGATGGAGAGACGGTGGTGGAAGAGATGGCAGGGAGTCCCTTAGCGAGAGTGGTCCGCAAAGTCTTCTCAAAAGAGGGGGCATTTCTTTTTTCTTTTCTTTTTTTTTTTTGAGACGGAGTTTCACTCATGTTACCCAGGCTGGAGTGCAATGGCGCGATCTCGGCTCACCGCAACCTCCGCCTCCTGTGTTCAGGCAATTCTCCTGCCTCAGCCTCCTGAGTAGCTGGGATTACAGGCACGCGCCACCATGCCCAGCTAATTTTTTTTTGTATTTTTAGTAGAGACGGGGTTTCACCATGTTAACCAGGATGGTCTCGATCTCTTGACCTCGTGATCCACCTGCCTCAGCCTCCCAAAGTGCTGGGATTACAGGCTTGAGCCACCGCGCCTGGCCTTCTTTTTTCTTTTCTTTCTTTTTTTGAGATGGAGTTTTACTCTTGTTGCCCAGGCTGGAGTGCAATGGTGTGATCTCGGCTCACTGAAACCTCTGCCTCCCAGGTTCAAGTGATTCTCCCGCCTCAGTCTCCTGAGTAGCTGGGATTACAGGCATGTGCCACCATGCCTGGCTAATTTTGTATTTTTAGCAGAGATGGGGTTTCTCCATGTTGGTCAGGCTGGTCTTGAACTCCCGACCTCAGGTGATCCGCCCATCTCAGCCTCCCAAAGTGCTGGGATTACAGGCGTAAGCCACTGTGCCAGGCCAAGGGGCCATTTCTTTGAACCCTGAATAATGGGAATGAGTCAGCCCCAAGTGGCCCGGGTGGGAAGGAGCTCAGGATAGAGACAAGGCCAGAGTGACAGCAAAGTATGAGAGGTGGGGAAGCCCAGGAGACACGATGTACTCAGAGTCAATGAATGAGGCTTGGATTTTATTCCAATTGCAGTTTGGTTTTAAGCAAGGAAAAAATGAAGACTACGTTGACTTTTAAACAGACAATTCCCACTGCTGTGTAAGAAATAGGTTAGTGTGGAGGCAGGGAGGCCAGTTACGAGGCTGCAGCAGTGATCCAGGGAGACGGGGTTTCACTATGTTGGCCAGGCTGGTCTCGAACTCCTGGTCTCGTGATCCTGCTGGAGTGGCAGAGGGGAGGTGGGGAGCCGGGTGCTGGTGTGTTTTGCTGATGGAGCTGTTGGGACTTGCTGCCAGGTGGACAGGAGACACCTCGAGCACTTTTCAAGCAGTTGTAAACTATATATAGTAGCTTCTGGAACTCAGCAGTTCTCCTGGGTCTTGGTGATGACAGAGGGAGAGCTGGCCAATGTATGTTCCTTCAGTCAGAATGGCCAGCCAGCCTCCTGGGTCAAATGAAGATGGCGATAATGGCAGCCAGTGACTGTCTATTCTGTTCACAGGCCCCAGTCCTCTCTCACCCATTCACCTCTTTCTCTTCCATCTCTCCTCGGGACAAGGGTGGGGGTCAGGGCTGGGGCAGTTTATCCACAGCTTGGTCCAGTGGTTCCTACTTAATGAACCAGTAGGAAGTCAACCTTTGAGCCTGTGGGCTCTGAGAGAGAGTGGAATTTTCCTTAGATGACATTTGGCAGTGTCATAATATTGTGTGGGGGTGTGGGGCTTGGGGGCTGCAGCTATTGTGTAACAGGGAGATGCTACTCATCCACCCATGCGGAAGACATCGCCCCACAAAGAATTATCCAATCCCAAATGTCACCAGTCCAGAGGTTGAGAAATGCTGTCACAAATATAGAAAAAAATCTGGAGGCTTTTTGTTGTTGTTGTTGAGACAGAGTCTCTCTCTGTCACCCAGGCTAGAGTGCAGTGGCACGATCTCAGCTCACTGCAACCACTACCTCCCAGGTTCAAGCGATTCTCCTGCCTTAGCCTCCCAAGTAGCTGGGATTACAGTTGTGCACCACCATGCCCAGCTAATTTTTGTTTGTTTGTTTTGAGATGGAATCTTGCTCTGTCACCCAGGTTAGAGTGCAGGGTACGATGTTGGCTCACTGCCACCTCTGCCTCTGGGTTCAAGCGATTCTCCTGCCTCAGTCTCCCGAGTAGCTGGGGTTACGGGCACCTGCCACCACACCTGGCTAATTTTTGTAAACTTGCAGGAGTTCCTTTATTTCTTCCCTTTACTTTTCCAAATGGGAAATAGAAGGAGAAAGGGAAGGGCCTTGTGAGGCGAAAGGTGTCCCTATACAGGTGTGACAGCCCCTGGCCCAGAGGCCCTTTCCATCCCTGTTCTTGGCCCACTTGGAGGGAACCGCCCCTCCCCCACAGCACCCACCTGCACATGGGGGTCTTCATTCTCTCCTGTTTCTTTTCATCTTTGGCCTAGGAATAGTAATTTCCTGCAAGCAGAAGACACTATTCTACTGCTAATATCCATGAGTAGTCTCCTCCCACAAGACAGAAAAAAATTCAGTGGTGGAAGGCATCAACCGTTTAAGAAAATTTTCAGGAAGGCAGAATTTTCTCAACCCCATTTTAATTATAGCTTTCTTTATTTGTTGCTGCTAACTGATTCTAGCCGATGACAGAATGATTCCAGGTGTCACAATATCTTTTTAATTTTTTTACTTTTTAAAACGTTTATTTTTTTTTTTTTCTCAAGACAGAGTCTCACTCTGTCACCCAGGCTGGAGTGCAGTGGTGCAATCTCAGCTCACTGCAACCTCTGCCTCCTGGGTTCAAGCTCTTCTCATGCCTCAGTCGCCAGAGTTCCTGGGATTACAGGTGTGCGCCATCACGCCTGGGTTATTTTTGTAGCTTTAGTAGAGACAGGGTTTCACCATGTTGGCCAGGCTGGCCTTGAACTCCTGACCAAGAAGCAGTTCTCCCACCTCAGCCTCCCAAAGTGCTGGGATTACAGGAGTGAGCCACCACGCCTGGCCACTGTCTTTATTTTTGACAAAGGTACTGTAGGTAACATGTCTGTTTCTACTTAGAATATCTTTAGGAGGTTAGACAAGCACCCACAAAGAGATGACCTCTGGGGAGGGGACTGTGGGACTGAGACTGGGGGCGGAGGGCCAGGGTGCCAGGGAGGCTGACCTTCACTTTGAATCTTTTACTTTTTAAAATTTAATTTAATTTAATTTTTTTTTTTTTTTTTTTTTTTTTTTGAGATGGAGTTTCGCTCTTGTTACCCAGGCTGGAGTGCAGTGGCGCGATCTCGGCTCACCACAACCTCCGCCCCCTGGGTTCAGGCAATTCTCCTGCCTCAGCCTCCTGAGTAGCTGGGATTACAGGCACGCGCCACCATGCTCAGCTAATTTTTTGTAGTTTTAGTAGAGACGGGGTTTCACCATGTTGACCAAGATGGTCTCGATCTCTTGACCTCGTGATCCACCTGCCTCGGCCTCCTAAAGTGCTGGGATTACAGGCGTGAGCCACCGCGCCCGGCAATTTAATTTTTTTATATAGGTTTTGAGATGGGGTCCCACTATGTTGC